ATAGCGCATAGGGGAATGGCCTCAGGTATAGTGTCAGTTGACTTTAACAACTGTTTTTTGACAAGAGCATATAATGTACTCATCACAGGTTTCAACTTTGTTTAAATGTTTAACTTGTTTGATAAATGCATGTCTAAAAACAACACAATAATAAAAAGAATTGTAAAAAATTTATTTTTTTGGAATTCTTTCCTTTGATGGTGGTCTTTCAAATTTGTGGAAACATGTTTCTGGGAAAGAACTATATATTTGGGGCTGTGGAAGCAGTGAACAACTTCACAGGGTCATCTCAGCCAGTAGTGGATTTTATTATTGGTCTTAATGGGGTTTATTTACTAAAGCTGGAGAGTCCAAAATCAGACTCCCTTCTGCATAGAAACCAATCAGCTTCTAACCTCAGCTTGTTCAATGAAGCTTTGGCAATGAAACCTGGAAGCTGATTGGCTTCTATGCAGAAGGGAGTCTGATTTTGGAACCTCCAGCTTTAGTAAATAAACCCCAATGTGTCTGCTTTTAATGTGTAACAATACAACATACCAAGATGGACAAAACTGGTTGAGGTTGAGATTGATGTTTGGTGTACATCCACTGCAGGGTTGGGTTACTTGCCCAGTAGCTTGTTTTCAGCTCTATACATTGTATAATGGTGCTCCATGGGTGCAGGTCTCTTGCTACAGTAATTAAAGCTATCTGAATTTTGATTTTGTACAGCCTTCAAGGTATGCTTAGAAAGGCTTGGCTTGCCTACTCAGGAGTATAACACACATTCTTTCAGTATAAGGGCTGTGACAGAGGCTTACAGATTGGGGGGGGTTGTATTTATGTAAAAAAAACCCAATGGCTCTCCAACCTGTCCTGAGAGTGACACATCTGCTCAAGCCAAACCCCCCATTCAACACATATGCCAAGGGGGAGGAGCATCCAAAAAGAAGTCACTGCAAAAAAAAACCCTCACAATAATGGGTGAAGCACCTCAATGGCTAATGAACAGAATATATATATATATAGGACGTAAACAATGAACAATTCAGTGCATAAACCCATCCACACCCCCACAACACCCCCCCCACCCAAAGCAACTCCCCCCACAACATAGGAGCCCCCCAAAAAATGGGATCCCACCCCAGCACCCCACCCTTGCCACCTTAGGCCAGACTTGTTCAACAGTTGTTGTAAAAGAGTGCTGATGAATAGTACTTGTTTTCATTGTTATTTTTCCTTTTTGGAATTTAAGTACATGTGTGGTTTGGGTAGTAGAAAAACATTCTCATCTCTTGTTATGGTGTTGTCTGAAATAGTACCCCACACAGTGCAATAAGGTGCTTCCTCTCCTGAGGCTGTCAGAACAGGAACAGACTTACTTAGGCAGAGATGGAGTATACTCCACTGATGTAGGACTTGATGTCTTCAACCTCTACATCTTAGAAGGCATTGAGGTGGCTTAAGGCTTATGGCGTGATATGCATGGATAAAGCATCATCTATGCATGGGGGATTCAAGCTCTTGAAAATGCCATGTTTTGACCAATAGCAAAGATTTAGCCAATGATAGATATAGAAAGAGATGAAAAATAGGCCAGGTAAAAACTATGGGGATGATGGCTGGTACAGTTTATTGGGTCATTTAGCTACACTCCTAGATTAGAAGTTTTAAGGAACTGTCAGGGGCCTGCCAATTGGTCAAATATTCCTGTTATATTATGTTTCTTGTTTATTGGTTTAATTATATTATGTATGGCATGTTCTGTGTATCCAAAAACTGTATGCTGCAGCTTTTTTGCATTTCAGCTTTGTACAATTTTAAATTAAAGTAAGCTGTAGTGTTCATGTGATTATTGAAAAGGTTGTAGGAGAGGTCCTAGGTTCTACCCCAGGTCTTGTAGCTACACATTAAAAAGCATAAATTATAAACTGTACATTACCCTCTAAATGTGTCCAGAGAAAGTAGGCGTTTTGGTTTGGGAACATCAGCATTTTGTTCTTGGCTAAGAGCCGATTCCTGCATTAATATAATAAAGACAAGTACTTATTTGGATGCAAACTGTACATATCATTTAAAAACAAAGGAATGGCCGTTAGTGTGCCTACACAGTGACATCTTAACCGTATGCCAGTCCCCTGCCTGTGTTAACCTATAAAGGGAAGAATCAGATGAACAGACACTAACTCATCTCCTAGCAGAGAGATCCATACATGTATTCTTCTACTGCATGTGTCATGGAAATTTTGTATTGTTGGTCGAACTTTAAATGTGTCATATATTCTTGTTATTCATATGTCTCTCGTGTGGCTTAATTAAAGCTCTGAAGGCTGCAATTGGGCCATGCACATGTACAATGTATGTATTACAGTACTCAGCTCGGTAACGGATGAGATGGCAGATCTGCGCTTATAGACCGGCGTGTATACCACCACGGCATTCGATGCGAATGCCGCTGGCAGTAGACCGCGGGCCTGTATCCACATATCAGCAGCATAGTACCACATGGGCTTCATAACGCAAGGCGCCAAGCGGTGTGAACTCCACGTGTAGGCTTATGCATATCTTACAACCCATTACCAATCTGAACTGTATCCGGATGGATGTGTTTTAATAAAGATCGTATCGGGCCCATCCAGGTACAGACTGATATTTCTAGGGAATGCTTGTACGGAGAATGGACATACTGCTAGGAGCTGGAAAATATGCTCTCCACAGAGGGCTCATGGGAAGGGGAGGAGATATGCTCTCCACAGAGGGCTCATGGGAAGGGGAGGAAGTCTGCTGACCTCAGAAGGCTCATGGGGGAAGACCAGTGACAGATAATAGAAAAGGCTATGCTCCAATCGGAATGTACATCCTGTGTATAGGCACTCCCCATTGCATTGTTCTGTGGGAGGGGTTTGACCTTATTCATGTGGGGGGGCGTGTGTGTATTTGTAATAAAACCAAAGGGGAGAATGAAAATTGCCCTTATGTGAATTGCAACACTAGCCTTAGAGTGTCGTGTGATCATTCTAGGGTAACGGAGCTCCATCACCCACATTTCAACAGAGCTAACCCATTTGGATGGGCAGGAATCGTGCAGTTTAGCTGCAGTCGTGGTAAGCGAGATTCGCACAGCTTTATGGGGGATTTCTGCGCATCCAACTGCGAGTACTCACGGTAAGGAGAAATTCGTTAAAGCGAATTTCCAAGACACATGCCTGATATACTGGGCATGTTATCTGTTTATATTTTCATCGATCAGTGGTTTGCCCTATGGGAATATGTACTGAGCGCACATTTATCACAGGGACTAGTAACCTCTGTGTTCATCTCTACTCAAGTCCTGAGTAAAGAATGCAATGGGCGATGTGTAAACACCAACTTACTGATAACCCTAAATTCCACTTCCTAATGAATATGACATCAGAGTAGTATGGCTGTGCAGCCACACATGTCATTAGATCAGACCTATGTACAGAATATAGACATTCCTCATTTTAAACATCTCCCTATATGTTCTTTCTTCCAGGTTACCCTGTTCCAAAAATTGTAAACATTTTTAGTAATACGAATCTTTGTTGACTCACAGTATTGCATGGTGGTTTGTACACAGTATTTTTTATGACCAGGAATAAAAAAATAAATGTAATAGTTTTCCATTTTTTGTTAGAGAACCAGGAAATATCACATACTGATATATTTACATGGGCAGCCAATAGGTGGAGCTCCCATCTCATCTTTTCTAAATGTTTCCCAGTTTCTTTTCACCTTTGTTTACAGAGCTGAAGCTGAAACTTGTATGTACAAGTTAATGAATCAGAACAATGACATTTCAATGCTTATTCCATCTGAAGTACCTGGATGATCCTGCCAGTCACTTTTTTCCTTGTTCTAAACTGACCACACAAACCAGAGATCTGTGCTTGCATGGTCAGTTTTCATCCTTTGGCTGGCCATTCAGAGATACAGGACACTGTGCAGATGCACAGAATGCCTGTATTGGGTAGTTTGTTTAGCCACCATATCCCCGCCCAATCATAGCCTTCCTCTGGCACATCCCCCCTCCCAATCAGCCTGATGCTGGAACACGCCTGTGGATGGGTGCAGCCTGATACAGCGGCAATAAACACACTGAGTCTGATTGTAGATAACAGAACTTATATTGAAGAAACAGCCCAAAAATGAAAAACAACCCAGTGGGGATGAGACCCAGCTGACCTGTACTGTGTGAGTTCAATGGGGAGGATTCCAAAGTAGAATGGCGTGTCCCTAGCCTGTCCCTACTCGTCCAGAACCCTTCCCTGTCACTGTACACTTTCCCTGACAGATGGGGGGCTCTTTCCCTATGTTAATAACTCGCAAAAAGTGCACCAAAGCTGGGGGGTAGGCACGTAAAAAGGCTCTGCTGATCCAAGATGGCCACCAGGTTCACCTGGATGCAGCGTATATAACCAGAATGCTGCCTCGGGGGATCAAGGAAACCATAGAGAAACCAAGATTCTCTTGACTACAGCGGAGAAACCACACGCTGCTTGCTCAATTACAGCCTGCATCGTGCCTGAATAGACTATAGAACACAGGAACAATGTGTGTCTGCACAGTGTCCTGTATCCCCCACTATCAGGAAGAAGACATGCATGGTCACGACAGAACTTTTTAACTTTGTAAAAAAAATTAAGATAATTTCTTAAACTAAGCGAAAGCAGTCATGCTACCTTCATAGCTATCACTGTATTAGAAATTGTCTAAAACATTGTATATTCGCAATTACTTTAACCACCTCCCGCTATATATAGTAAAATGACAGACGCAAGGCGGTTCTCTCGCTCTGAGAGCGCGCAGCGTGGCGATCGGCGGTGCGCTGTGTCCCTCGGACACAGTGGATCACCAATCAATGGAAAGAGCCGAAGATGTCGGCTTGGTCATGTGATCAGCTGTGTCAAATCACAGCTGATCGCATGTAAATAGGGAAATGTCGGTTATCGGCATTTCTCTCCTCACGAGCTGTCACGCTGACAGCTCGAGAGGAGAGGAGAGTCTGTAATCGGCATCCCTCAGAGGGGACATGTACACTGATCATCAGGGCACTGATGATCAGTGTGCCCTGATGATCTTTGTAGCCCCAGCAGTGCCACCTGTCAGTGTCCATCAGTGCCAGCTGTCAGTGCTCATCCATGCCACCTGCCAGTGCCCATCAGTGCCAAATCAATGCCACATTTCAGTGCCTACCAGTGCACATCAATGCCACATATCAGTGCCCATCTGAGCTGCCTTTCAGTGTTACCCATCAGTGCCAGTCAGTGCCACCTAACAATGCCAGTCAGTGCCATCTATCAGTGCTGCCAATCAGTGCCACCTACCAGTGCCAGTCAGTGCAGCCTATCAGTGCACGTCAGTGCTGCCTATCAGTGCCGCCTAACAGTGCCAGTCAGTGCCGCCTATCAGTGCCAGTCAGTGCCGCCTATCAGTGCCATGTATGAGTGCTGCCTTTCAGTGCCCATCAGTGATGCCTGTCAATGCCCATCAGTGCCACCTACCAGTGCCTCCTCAACAGTGCCCATCAGTCCCACCTATCAGTGTCCAACAGTGCAGCCTCATTAGCGCACATCAGTGAAGGAGAAAAATCACTTATTTACAAAATTTTATAACAAAAACTAAGAAAAAAATTATTTTTTCAACACTTTTAGTGGTTTTTGGTTTGTTTAAGAAAAAATTAAAAACCCAGAGGTGATTAAATACCACCAAAATAAAGCTCTATCTGTCACAAAAAATGCAAAAAATGTCATATGGGTACAGTGTTGTATGACCACGCAATTGTCATTCAAAGTGCAAAAGCGCTGAAAGCTGGAAATTGGCCTGGGTAGGAAGGGGGTATAAGTGCCCTGTAGGCTAGTGGTTAACAAAAAAAATTATTTTCAACTTTAGTTTACAGGTGCTGCAATTTTGTAAAACAAAGAAAATTAAAATGCTGCTTCCATAAAGCAGCAGAAAGAGCTCTGTGATGGGAGACAGCCAGGCACACGATCAAGCTCTCCTCTCAGTTTTTTTTTTTTCCTCCTTTGTTTTTTTTGAAGCGAGAAAGCAGTTAACAATGAAAATGGCAACAACATTTGTCCAACAAAATTGACAGCATACAGTTTGTCGGTATAGTTTGAGAATCAGGTATCAGTGCTGGGTCGAAGGATGGGCAGTAAGAAACAAAAAGACAGATGGCGGTCGGTTGAACAACTAGCAGTTAAAGTGTACAATATATTTTAATTTTAAGTGGAGGGTAGGATATCAATTAGAGGGTCATTGGTTAACAGTCTGGTTTGAAACCATTGGGTATATTGAAAACATTGTACTAACGATTGTTGGGTATCTGCAGGCAAGATTTGAATGAAAGATTTCCAGATATCAAAACATTTTTAGACCCATGACTCCTTTATCATTTAGATGAAGAGTCCCAAATCTAGCAATGCACTAAGTATGCATGTAAAGTACATCACTGTGTAGTATCCTTTTTTCTTTTTAGGTTTTGTTAACATGTATGTCAATACCATGTATTTTTTTGCAGAATTTTTGCTGCCATGAATATTACAATGGGCACCACACAGTGTTGTACACACAGGAGCGGTAGCGTTGTGTTGTGTTAAAAATTAGACAGCATGTTGTTCTAATGAGACATCAATGCTTATCAGCCGCCTACATTGATTTCAATGGTAATGGTATAACTACACCTGTCAGGGATCCCTCCTCCGTGCAGCCGTGCGACGGCGCCGGATCCCTTTTGACCGCGGCAGTGTGAGTGCGCATGCGCGGGAGCATGCGGGAGCGCATGCGCAGGAGCGTGCGAGTGCGTGCATGCTCAGTAGTGTACATGTCCCCGCAAGGCGGGATATTGAAACCTCCAATACAGTTCAGTCAATGCCTTCTGGTCTATAACATTCTGCACTCCATAACCAGATTGTGTTGCCTGTATCTGATCTGACCTGACTAAGAAAGAACTCCGCCTGCACCGACCCCGGCTTATCCTTGACTACTCGCTTGCCTGCTCCCTTGTACTTCATTTGCTCGTTTGATCCTGACCCGGCTTGTCTGACTCTGCTGCACCTACTTACCTGTATCTTCACCTGTCCTGTATCCTGATTGCTGCCATACTTACCGTATTTGCCGGCGTATAAGACGACTTTTTGACCCTTGAAAATCTTCTCAAAAGTTGGGGGTCGTCTTATACGCCGGTACACATGTTTAGGGGGGCTGCGGCATTAAGTACAGGGGTGGGCAGGGGCTGATGTCTCTTACCTGGATCCAGTCCCACGACGATCCGGTCCAGGAAGCGCGGCGTCTCCTTCAGTTCGGCCACTGGATGTTCGTGCGGCTGCTCGGCTCCGCCTCCTCACCGGTGATTGGCCGCCAGAACTGTAGCTCAGGAAAGGCACACAGGCGGCCAATCACCGGCGAGGGGGCGGAGCCGAGCGGCCCCCGCGAAAATTGAGTGCCGGAGCAGCAGGTAAGTGTTCTGTGTAGAGGTGCTGCTGCAACCACATATGCTGGCTGCAGCAGCACCATACGAGAACAGGGTCAGCAAGTCTCAGTGGGAGGAATAGTGCCCCATCATTGGTGTCACTGATACCAATGATGGGGCACTATTCCTCCCACTGACACCAACGATGGGGCACTATTCCTCCCACTGACACCAACGATGGGGCACTATTCCTCCCCCCCACTGACACCAATGATGGGGCACTATTCCCCCCCCCCACTGACACCAACGATGGGGCACTATTCCACCCCCCACTGACACCAATGATGGGGCACTATTCCACCCCCCACTGACACCAATGATGGGACACCATTCCTCCCACTGACACCAATGATGGGGCACTATTCCTGCCACTGATACCAATGATGGGGCACCATTCCTGCCACTGATACCAATGATGGGGCACTGTTCCTCCCACTGACACCAATGATGGGCACTATTCCTCCACTGATACTAATGATAGGGCACTATTCCTGCAACTAATGCCAATGATGGGGCACTATTCCTCCCACTGATACCAATGATGGGGACACTATTCCTGCCACTAATACCAATGATGGGGCACTATTCCTCCCACTGACATCAATGATGGGGCACTATTCCTCCCACTGGTGTGCATTGGAAGAGGGGTAGTCTTATGCGGCGAGTATAGCCCAAACACTACATTTTAGCAGGAAAAGTAGGGGGGTCGTCTTATACGCCCAGTCGTCTTATACGCCGGCAAATACGGTACCTGCTGCTGCACCCACGGTCCTGCACCTGGCCAGCATCCTGGTCACCGCCATACTTACCTGCTGCTGCACCCACGGTCCTGCACCTGGCCAGCATCCTTGTCACCGCCATACTTACCTGCTGCTGCACCCACGGTCCTGCACCTGGCCTGCATCCTGGTTACCGCCATACCTGCCTGCTGCTGCATCCACGCTCCTGTGTCCGTTCCCGGTCTGCATCCTGATTGCCGCCATACCTTCCTGCTGCTGCACCCACATTCCTGCATCCGCACCTGGCCTGCATCCAGATCTCCGGGGTCTTCACCTGCCTGCTACCAGCTCCAGAACCACCCGGCACTCGTGCCACTCCTGGCTCTGCGCCCTCTGTTCCCACTATCAGGGGCTCCGAGCGGGAGTAGTAAGTAAGAGGACGCCTCCTCTCCACGTCAGGCTCCCCAACCAGGTACATGACAGTACCAGAAGGCCATGTCGGAGCCTGAGAGAGGGTCCTCTCCTCTGAAAGAGATCTGCCAGCACATTGCGGCATTGACACAAGCCGTCAATGGCCTGCAAGAGGGTTATAACTGTCTAGAGAACCGTTTTCAGACTTTATCTGCACCCACACCCTCTGCTAGCACTGCAGCGACATCCACTCCAACTTTCGCTCCAGGAGCCATGGTGAACTCTGCAGTGATGATGTTGCCCCCTGAATTTAAGAGTACCAACACCTGAAAGATTTTCTGGTGACCACCACAAGTTCAGGGCCTTCCGCAACGCCTGTGAACTCTATTTTGCTTTGCAACCCCGTACCTTTTCTTTAGAGGCAACCGAGGTGGGGTTTGTGATCTCACTCCTCCAGGGCGAACCACAAGCATGGGCCCACCATTTGCTGGAGAAGGAAGATGCCAAGCTAACTTCCTTAAACCATTTCTTTGAGGCTATGGCACAGCTCTATGACGATCCCCAGCGATGTGCGTTGGCAGAAGCCGCACTACACTCTCTTCAGCAGGGTCGCAGGGCAGCTGAGGACTATGTAACAGAATTTTGGCGTTGGAGCACCGATACCAATTAGAACGACGCTGCCCTACGATTCCAGTTCCACTTAGGCCTAGCTGAACCCCTTAAAGATGAGCTAGCTCGAGTTGGGGTACCAAACACGTTGGAAGAGCTCATTAACCTGGCTATCCAGATTGACTGCTGACTTAGGAAAGAAGGTTGGAAAGATCCGCAGGCCAAGTTCGCCCCATGTGGATGCTACCCAGGGTACTACCTCCTGCGAGCATGGCACCAACCAGTCCTGCTACACCCAATTCTGATGAATCTGAACCCATGCAAATAGGGTTGCTATGAACCCCACTTACCGCAGAGGATTGTCAATGCCGCCGACAGGGCAACCTATATCTCTATTGCAGAGAACCGGGCCATTATGTACGGAACTGCTCTGCAAAACTACGTAAGTCTCTGACCACCCTGCCTGCTAAACTACCAACTATCAACCCTGCTTATCTTACCATTTCCATCTCATTCCAGCCTTCGGGAAGAACCCTGCCAGTACCCACTGTCATTGATTCTGGGGCCTGCAGTTGCTTTATAGACGCTCTGCAACACCAGATACCCTTAAAGGTCAAGACTCAGAGACTGACCGTATATTTGGCCGACAGATCTAACATTAAGTCTGGGACAGTCACACAGGAAACAATCCCACTTCCTGTGGTAATATCTCTGTCTGGCCACAAGGAACTACTATGCCTGGATGTTATTGCATCACCACTGTTTCCAGTCATCTTGGGGATCCTTTGGTTGCAGGCCCACAACCCCAGTATAAACTGGATATCTGCTGAAGTGGACTTTCAATCGGCCTACTGCCATGAGCACTGCTTGCCCCAAGGTCCTGCTCAATCCGGGCCCCTATTATGCATGGAAAATGATACCGAAGTAAGCCAAATGGTTCCGGCAGCATACCATAACTTTCTGGACATCTTCATTAAACGTGGTGCAGACATCCTTCCACCTCAAAGGCCCTACGACTGCCCGATCGAACTTCTACCTGGAGCTGAGATTCTTTTCGGTCGGATCTTTCCACTGTCAAAGCGTGAGTTGGAGG